CAGGCAGAATTGTCACTGTCGGTCTTGAATCTTTGTCTTTCTGCTTGTGGCGTTGAGAAAAAGGTGCTTGATGCAGCCGAGGTGGGGTCTGTGTCAGGTGACCCGGGCATCCTGGGGGTGCAGGGAGAAGCCCAGGTGTGGAGCAGGAGGGGCCGGTCATCAGTAGGGAAAAGTGATTACCCCATGGGCAGGTCAAGGGTCGGAGGTTGTGAGAAACCAGGGGGAGAGATGAAGTGAGGCATGATTGGGGGGCCGCCACCCAGCATCCCCCTTGCAGCTGTGCTGGGAAGAGCCTGGGCTCCGGATCCGAGGTGGTGGGGACAGAAGGAAGCATGTGTGAGCACTTTCTCCCTGCCGGCCGCCCTCCTGGTTGGCGATGCCGAGTGTTCCAGGATGTGGCCTGTGCTGGTCATTTCCTTTCTTCCACCTAGCGATAACAATGGCCACTGTTTGTGTGCCCGAGGTTGGCCTGTATCCCAGACACCTTCCCTCCATTGTGTCATTCCATCCTCCTGCCAACCCTGAAGGCTGGATGCCAGCCAGGCCTGTCCTTTCTGTGGCCACACTGCTGTGGGTGTGCGGCGGGGGGCATCCCCCAGCCCCAGGCCCTGGCGGTGGGAATGCAGGCTGGGGCATTGAGGAAGGGGTCTCTCTCAGGGTGTGGAATCTTTGAGTCCGCTGCATCCCTGGTGGCTTTCTTCATTAACCCAAGGCTTATGGGTGCTGGATGCTTTTGACTCTCTGCCCTTCCTGGAAGCACCCTGCCGGGTCCCTGAGGGCCTGTCCTCAGGGGAGCCTCTCTGCTACTCTTCCAGGCCAGCCCTGAGCCCCAGAGGTCCCCATCTTCCCGGCTGCAGGCTCCAGGGACTCAGCCTACACTGCTGCTTCCTTCGAAACTATAATCGCTTTACGTAGCATCTGGAAAATAGAGAAAAAAAAAAAAAGCCCATAAACCCAGCACCCTCATCGCCTCAATAGGCTGTTTTCTATCAGTCTATCTTGGTTTGTTTTCTGTCAGTCTTTGTTTTTTTCTGTGCATAATATTTACTCAGTTAAATGTTTGTTTTGACAAGCTTTCCATGAGCCAAGCTTGTGGACGGAGATGAAAAGACGGGCAGCTGCCTTTGAGAAATCGGACTCGGGGCCAGCCCCGCTGGGCGCCTGCCTTCCTCACTCCACCCGCTGGCTGGGTGACCCTGGGACCGTGACTTCACCTCTCCGTTGTTTGGTGTTTTCATACAGAAAATGAGGATAGTAATAGTAACCAGTTCATAGAGCGGTTGTGTAGACGAAATGCTTAACCTCCGTAAAGCTCTTTGGATGGTGCCAGAAAGATGCACAGGGTGTTTGGTGGGAGGATGACAGCTTCGTCTGGCAGGAGGGGCAGCTGTAACATGCTGAGGTGTGTTTAAACACATACAGATGTGTTTAATGTGAGGCGAGCCCAGAGCAAGGAGAGAGAACCTGGCGCCTGGGGATGCTGGATCAACAACATTTTAGGCCAGGCATGATGACTCACACCTGTAATCCCAGCACTTTGAGGGGCCGAGGCAGGCAGATTGGTTGAACCCAGGCATTCGAGACTGGCCTGAGCAACATGGTGAGACCCTGTCTCTATAATTTTTTTTTTTTTCTGGGACGGAGTCTTTGCTGTGTCACCCTGGTGGGAGTGCAGTGGTGCTATCTCAGCTCACTGCTACCTCCACTTCCTGGGTTCAAGCAATTCTCGTGCCTCAGCTTCCTGAGTAGCTGGAACTATAGGTGCTCACTACCACACCCGGCTAATTTTTTTGTATTTTTAGTAGAGACAGGGTTTCACTATGTTGGCCAGGCTGGTCTCAAATTCCTGACCTCAAGTGATCTGCCCACCTTGGCCTCCCAAAGTGCTGGGATTACAGACATGAGCCACCACGCCTGGCCTCTATAAAATTTTTTTTTGAAGAAATTCCCCAGGCATGGTGGTGCACACCTGTAGTCCTAGCTACTCAGGAGGCTGAGGTGGGAGGATCGTTGAACCCAGGATGTTGAGGCTGCAGTGAGAACTGATTGAGCCACTATACTCCAGCCTGGGCAACAGAGCCAGACCCTGTCTCAAAACAACAACAAAAACTTTTTTTTTTTTTTTTTGGAGGCCGAGCCTTGTGCTCTCTCCCAGACTGGAGTGCAGTGGCGTGATTTTGGGTTCAAGTCATTCTTCTACCTCAGCCTCCCAAGTAGCTGGGATTACAGACACCTGCCACCACGCCCACCTAATTTTTTGTATTTTTTTAGTTGAGACGGGGTTCCACTATGTTGGCCAGGGTGGTCTCAAACTCCTGACCTCATGATCCAACCACCTCAGCCTCCCAAAGTGCTGGGATTACAGGCGTGAGCCACTGTACCTGGCCAAGAAAAACATTTTTAAGGAGGAGATGAGAACCGTGAGAACCGAGCTTGGATTTAAAGAAGGATCCGGGCTTTCTCAGACAGAAAAGGAGAGGAAGGACATTACAGATAGACATCAATGAGCCTTGTAATGGGACACTGTGAACTTTTCTTTTTTTTTTTGAGACGGAGTTTCGCTCTTGTTACCCAGGCTGGAGTGCAATGGCGCGATCTCGGCTCACCGCAACCTCCACCTCCTGGGTTCAGGCAATTCTCCTGCCTCAGCCTCCCGAGTAGCTGGGATTACAGGCGCGCGCCACCATGCCCAGCTAATTTTTTGTATTTTTAGTAGAGACAGGGTTTCACCATGTTGACCAGGATGGTCTCAATCTCTCGACCTCGTGATCCACCCGCCTCGGCCTCCCAAAGTGCTGGGATTACAGGCATGAGCCACCGAGCCCGGCCTGACACTGTGAACTTTTCTTGGGTTGTTATAATCTTCACATTCACAGCTTTCAGTGACCACACCCAGTATCTCTGGGGGAACGCATCGTAACTTACCCTTCTCCTAATGCTGAATGTCGAGGTTGCTTCCATCTCTGTGGCATCACAGACTGCCGTGGTGCACGCTGACATGCACACCGCATCTCTCATCTGGGGGAGTTCTTTCCCCAGGACTGATTCCCATGTCTTCCTTTGCGGGCCCTCCCCTCTCCCCGCTGTGGTGAGGGCATGGGCACCCCAGCTTCCCTGTCCTCACAGCCCTCCAGTGCAGAAGAAAGAAGGAAGCTTGGCACAGGTTCAAGTATTCTCAGAAACATTCTTCCTTTATTCTCATAACATGTGGGAGACAAAAAATGTCCCCATTTTAAAGAAGAAGAAAACTGGCCGGGCGCAGTGGCTCACGCTTGTAATCACAGCACTTTGGGAGGCTGAGGCGGGTGGATCACAAGGTCAGGAGTTTAGGAACAGCCTGGCCAACACAGTGAAACCCCATCTCTACTAAAAAGACAAAAATTAGCTGGGCGTAATGGTGGACACCTGTAATCCCAGCTACTCAGGAGGCTGAGGCAGGAGAATTGCCTGAACCCAGGAGGCAGAGGTTGTGGTGAGCCGAGATCTCGCCACTGCACTCCAGCCTGGGTGACAGAGGGAGACTCTGTCTAAAAAAAAGGAAGGACAAAACTGAGCCTCACGATCTTTTCACGCCCTCATTGTCTACTACCAATCATAAAAGGAAGGGCATTATAAAGCTTTGGAACATTTTCAGAGTTCTACAGTCAAGCTTCTTTAAGCCTCTGTTTTTTTTTTCTTTCTTTTTTTTTTTTTTTTTTGAGATGGAGTTTCGCTCTTGTTACCCAGGCTGGAGTGCAATGGCGTGATCTCGGCTCACTGCAGCCTCCGCCTCCTGGGTTCAGGCAATTCTCCTGCCTCAGCCTCCTGAGTAGCTGGGATTACAGGCAGGCGCCACCATGCCCAGCTAATTTTTGTATTTCCAGTAGAGACAGGGTTTCACCTTGTTGACCAGGATGGTCTCGATCTCGTGACCTCGTGATCCACCCTCCTCGGCCTCCCAAAGTGTTGGGATTACAGGCGTGAGCCACCGCGCCCGGCCAAAGCCTCCGTTTTCTTATCTGTAAAGAGGGTGGTCAGCAGCATAAAGAGAGCCAACATTAACTGAACACTTAACGCCTTCCATGTGCTGTTATGGCCCCCATGTTACAGATGAGGAAACTGAGACACAGAGGGGTTAAGTAACTTGCCTAAGGTCACTCAGCTGGGATGTTGTGGTGAGGCTGAGATTTGCTTGCGCCTGGCTCTAGATCTATGTGGTCTCATTGGTGTGTTTGCCTCACAATTTTGTGAGAATCAAATGAGATAATCACATAATGAGCTTAGTTCAGAGCCTGCTACATAGTCAGTGCTCAGTAAACGTCTCCTGGTATAATTATCAATTTTATTTTATTTTTTGAGGTGGAGTTTTGCTCTGTCACCAGGCTGGAGTTCAGTGGCGTGATCTCGGCTCACCGCAACCTCTCCTTCCTGGATTCAAGCGATTCTTCTGCCTCAGCCCCCCAAGTAGCTGGGATTACAGGTGCCCGCCATCATGACGGGCTGATTTTTGTATTTTTAGTAGAGACGGGGCTTCACCATGTTGGCCAGGCTGGTCTTGAACCCCTGACCTCAGGTGATTGCCCGCCTCAGCCTCCCAAAGGCCTCCCAAAGCCTGGGATTATAGACATGAGTCACTGCCCCCAGTCCGTGCTGGTTTGGGTGCTGAAAGATTATCTCTGTAACTTACATAGTGAGAAACCTCCATTTGCCGAGGACATGACTGCCTGTAATGTATGTTCACATCTGTTGTCTCCTTTGGTCAATACCACTCACTGCAGGTGAGAAAACTGAGTCTCTGCTGGGGATACTGGGTCAGGGAGCAGGCAGTTAAGGTCACCCGTGCACAGTGGCAGCACAGGAGGGTGTGGGGACAGACCCTGACCTACCCCTGGCTCTTTAAGGGTATGGCTGTCCTCTTAGGGGGCTGGCCAGGGTTTGCTAGGTCTGCAGTCTGTCCTGAGGGTCCTGTCACTTTTACCTCCCACTCAGTGTCATTTATCTGTCCTTCCCCTCCTTTTCAGGTCCCTCCATGCCCAGGATCTGGGGACAACGCTGGTGAGGAGCCATCTGGGTGTCTGTGCAGGAAACCGCTGCAGTTGGTGAGGTGGGCATGGGAGACCGCACCCAGCTGACCAGAGACCTTGTTTTCTTCCAGACTGAGGGGGAAGGTGGTGGGGCTTCCCCACCCGCCCCGCAGAAGATGCAGTTCCTCGGCCGCCTGGTCAATACCCTCAGTAGCGTCACCAACTTGTTCTCTAACCCATTCCGGGTGAAGGAGGTGGCTGTGGCCGACTATGCCTCGAGCCGCCGGGTTCGGGAGGAAGGGCAGCTGACCCTGTTCCAGAACGCTCCCAGCCGCACCTGGGACTGCGTCCTCGTCAACCCCAGGAACTCACAGAGTGGATTCCGGTGGGTGATGGTCGGGGGCGCACACTTCTCTCCTTTGATTCCCCCGATCTCTTGGATTGGAGGTCTTGTTGGCCGAGCAGCAGCTTCTTTGGGTCTCCATCTGAGGGGTCTGGAGGGGGGTGGGAGAGAGGGGAGGCTGTACTCAGACCAGAGGGAAGGACTTCCGAGACTCCACACTTCTGGCCCATCAGTGTCCCAGCAGCACGAGAGTGGGGTTGGAAGCCTGGGTTGTTTCCTGCTTGAAGGCTTGACCTACATGGACAAAGGGAAGAAGAAAGGACAGGGAGGCTGGGAGGGACCACATCAGATAAGGAGAACCCTTAGCGCTGGCTCTTTATTTTTTGTTTTTTTTTGAGACAGAGTCTCACTCTCTTACCCAGGCAGGAGTGCAGTGGCGTGACCTCGGCTCACTGCAACCTCTGCCTCCCAGGTTCAAGCAATTCTCCTACTTCAGCCTCCTGAGTAGCTTAGATGACAGGTGCCCGCCCCCATGCCCAACTAATTTTTTTATTTTTAGTGGAGACAGAGTTTCACCATGTTGGCCAGGCTGGTCTCAAACTCCTGATCTCAGGCAATCCACCCGATTGGCCTCCCAAAGTGCTGAGATTACAGGTGTGAGCCACTGTGCCTGGCCTAGCCCTGGCTCTTTAAGGGCATGGCCATCCTCACAGGGGCTGGCCAGGGTTTGCTCAAGAGGGCTAGACAGAGCTGTCGCCTCTCGGGGCACGCTGGGTCTCTTCTAGACCCTAAAGGAAGGCTTGGAAGCTAGTGCAGGGCTGAGGGAACCAGACAGACGGCAGAGCTGATGGAAAACCGGGAGAAGCAGCCAAGATTCCAAATGCGGGTCCCAGCAGCGCTTGGCAGACTGGCATCTAGTTGGGCTCAGACAGATATCCCTGTTTCCGCTCACCCATCCATCTGGCTGCCCTGCCAGCCATCCGTTCAGCATGCGCCAGACACCTCCAGTGTCTCCAGAGTCCCAGGCTCTGGGCCAGTCCTGGCTGACCCTGTGAGATGCCCTGTGCCTTTAAGGAACTTACAGTCTGGTGGGGGAGGCCCAGTGCAGACAGGCACCGTAGCACCCCTTGAGGAGTGCTCTGACCCAGGGAGAGTCGAGGAAGCGCTGTGGATCACGAGGAGGTGGTTGAGAGCTACTCTGTGTCTGGAAGAGTGAGGAGGAGCCTGTGTGGCAGAACAGAATGAATAGGTAGTTCCAGCCAAGCAGAGGTGTGGAGCTGTGAGCCCGCGGGCAGGTGACTGGGTCCCAGGTGCATGCAGGGCCTCGGTGAGACTGAGGCTGAAGCAAGCAGCTGGGGACTCATTCTGACTGAAGACACGTGGCAGGAGGGGTCTCTAAAAGTGTCAGGCTTGGGGCCAGGGGCTGGCAGCGACAGAGGAGCATGGCAGGTATCAGGCCTCATCCAAGCAGGTGAGGATTCAGAGCTGGCTCCATAAGGAACCTGAGGCAGAGGCACCCACATTGGTTACTTGGGCTAAAGGCAGCTCAGTGACCGGTCCAGGCACCAGTGTTTTTTTTTTTGTTGTTGTTTTTTAAGATGGAGTCTCACTTGTTGCCCAGGCTGGAGTGCAATGGCAGGATCTCAGCTCACTGCAACATTCACCTCCCAGTTTCAAGCAATTCTCTTGCCTCAGCCTCCTGAATAGCTGGGATTACAGGTGCACATCACCACACCTGGCTAATTTTTGTATTTTTAGTAGAGATAGGGTTTCAGCAAGTTGGCCAGACTGGTCTTGAACTCCTGACCTTGTGATCTGCCCACCTCAGCCTCACAAAGTGCTGGGATTACAGGCATAGGCCACCGTGCCTGGCCCAGGCACCAATTTTAACATAGCGGGGCCATTCCAGGTTCTGAGTGTAGATGGGTCTGAGTGGACTGCATCAGGGTGACCTTGAATGGGGCAGGGTTGCTCTCGCACCTCCAGAGCCTGACTGCAGGCACAGCTGCCATGGCAGCAGGCCCACTCCTTGGAGAGTTGGACAGCCCCACTTTTGAGATGCACAGCCCTGGGGCTACCACCAACCTCTACGTACCAATAATCACCAAGTTCTTTCAGTTGTAAAGTCCCTTGGTAGGATTCCAGATTTGTCTCAGCCCCAGTGTGGGCAGACCTCCATCCCAGGGGGAGTCAGTCCTTTGCCAGCAAATTGTTAACTAAACGTAAGATACTGGGTGGTACTTTATAGGATGTTTAGAGTGCGTTGGGTTAGCACATTCTCTGCTGACCCATGGAGGTGGGCAAGGAAGGCAGTATCCCATTTTATGGATGAGAAAACAGCCTTGGGATAATAAGTGATTCATCCTAGATTACACAGGGAGCAGTGAAGAAACAGAATCAATGTCTCCTGTCCCAATCCATTTCTCTGTCTGTGCTGCTGTGTTGTTTCCATGTATGTATGTATGTATATATGTATGTTTGTGTTTTTTGAGACAGAGTCTTGCTCTGTCACCCAGGCTGGAATGCAGTGGTGCGATCTCAGCTCGCTGCAACCTCCACCTCCTGGGTTCAAGCGATTCTCCTGCTTCAGCCTCCCCAGTAGCTGGGATTACAGGCACCTGCCACCACACCCAGCTAATTTTTGTATTTGTGGTAGAGACGGGGTTTTGCCACCAGGTTGGTCTTGAGCTCCTGACCTCAGGTGATTCGCTCACCTTGGCCTCCCGAAGTGCTTGGATGGCAGGGGTGAGCCGCTGCACCCGACCATTTCCATGTATTAGACAGACCAAGGAGCAGCGGGTGGAGTTTCAGCCTAAGCATTTTCTTATCTCAGAGTTCCTGAAGTCCCTAACTTGGCTCTAGAGTCTTTTTTTTTTTGTATTTTTGTTTTATTGATTGATGGATTTAGAGTGTCATTCTTGTTGCTCAGGCTGGTGTGCAATGGTTCTGTCTCGGCTCACTGCAACCTCTGCCTCCTGGGTTCAAGTGATTCTCCTGCCTCAGCCTCCCCAGTAGCTGGGATTACAGGTGTCCACCACCACGCCCAGCTAATTTTTGTATTGTTAGTAGAGACGGGGTTTCCCCACACAGGCCAGGCTAGTCTCAAACTCTTGGCCCTGACCTCACGTGATCCACCTGTTTTGGCCTCCCAAAGTGCTGGGATTACAGGCTTTCGAGCCACCACACCCGTCTGTTTGTCTTATTTTTAAATTTTATTGATTGATTTATTTTCACAGTCATAGCTCTGGAGTCTTTTTTTTTTGAGACAGAGTCTTATTTTGTCGCCAGTTGCCAGGCTTGAATGCAGTGGCGGATCTTGGCTCACTGCAACCTCCGCCTCCCGGGTTCAAGCAGTTCTCCTGCCTCAGCCTCCCGAGTAGCTGGGATTACAGGTTCGCACCACCATGCCCAGCTGATTTTTGTATTTTTTATAGAGAGGGGGTTTTACCATGTTGGCTAGGATGGTGTCCATCTCTTGACCTTGTGATCTGCCCACCTCGGCCTCCCACAGTGCTGGGATTACAGGCGTGAGCCACCGCGCCCGGCCAGCTCTCTAGTCTTTTCTATCTTCTCTAATCTGCTTCCACCCAAGCATTTTCATTTCAGCAAATAGCATCATCCCAGCCGCCAGATCCAGCCACCACTTCCACCTTTCCAGCCAGAGGGAGGGCGGAAGGGCAGGGTGTAGTGGGGCACTCTCCCCTCCTCAGGGAGGCTTCTTGGAAGTTGCACACGTGCCTTCCACCTAAATCCCATTGACCAGAACCTGGTCACATGGCCACAGCTAACTGCAAGGGAGGCTGGGAAGGAAGTGGTGTGGTGTTGCAGACAGCCACGCGCCAGTGGAAAATCACAGGTTCTCTCCCTCTCCCTCTCCATCTTGCTGCTGGCTCGCTTCTCCGGGCCACAGTCATTGCGCACGTGGGCTCCTGCCGCTTTAGCTGCGGTCTACACTCCTCTCATCCTCTTCCAAGCTGCTGTCACAACGTGTCGTTCCCCTGCTTAAGTCCTCAAGGGCTTCCTGTTTTCTTAACACATCAGGTGCTTAAGGGCTTAAAAGGGCCCCGTGTGATCACGTCTCTGCCTCTGGTCTCAGTTCGTGCCGCCCTGCGCTCCTGGCCTTTCCCCAGGCTCTTACGGTGGCCTGGAATACTCCCCTTTCTTTGCCTGCCTCCCTTCCTCTTGCCCTCCCCTGACCTACAGGCTGGAGTAGGAGTTTCTGCTCCAGCCTGTAGGTGTCCCATGGTACCCATCCCTGCTCTGGGGAGCCTGCCTTCCTGGTAGGCCACAGACCTTGTGAAGGAGGGACTGTGTCTGTCGGGTTCATGACAGTGTGCCCAGCCCCCAGCAGGTGCCTGGCATAGATCAGGTTTGTGGAATAAATGAATGTGAGACATGAATTCAGCTTTATAGTGTTCATTGAGAGCTGTTGTGTGCCAGGCCGTCTGTGCCACATGGGTGGAGGGTCGAGAGCTGTTGCATTCAGGGCAGTTGACGGAGTGAGCTAGGAAGGGAAGGTGGAGGATGGGGAGTGGGATGCAGGGTTCCAGATTACCAAGGGTCCCAGAAGCGGTAATGCCAAGGCCTAGGGTGTGACCTGGAGTGAGGCTGCAATGGGGGTGGTGGGGTTGAGGCCATGGAGGAGGGGTCAGGGCACTGTGAGAGTCCCGGGCTTCTCCAGGGCAAGGGGTGGCCATTGCAGTGTTCTCGAAGCTCCTCTCAACACCCTGGAGTTTGTGGAGAGCATGCCTGGTGCACTGGACTTCCTCTGCCCGGGGCTGAGGTTCTGCCTTCTAAATGATCCTCCTCCTGTGTTGCCCTGGAGAACTTTGGACTGTCCTGAGTACTTTTTATTTATTTATTTATTTTTGAGATGGAGTTTTGCTCTTGTTGCCCAGGCTGGGGTGCCATGGCACGATCTCTGCTTACCACAACCTCTGCCTCCCGGGTTCAAGCGATTCTCCTGCCTCAGCCTTCCAAGTAGCTGGGATTACAGGCATGTACCACTGCGCCTGGCTAATTTTGTATTTTTTTTTTTTTGA